ATTATGCAGCATGGCTAAGATTTTTGTTCCTCATTCATCACAAATCTGCCTTGTAAATCAAGAATGAATGTCCAACTTTAGATCCCTGTATCTCCTAGCTCAAATATGATAAATTCATGCTCTTGGATGTTTTGGAAAGCTTGAAACACCCTCTATAACTTTCATGTTGACCAATTTTGTTAAATCAAATTGGAACTTGATGAAAATTGGCCAAGAAGTTGGGATAAAAACCTGACCAAGACTGCTGAAAGTTTCTCTAAGTGTTAAATGAAAATGTCATGACCTCATAAATTTATAACTTGAGATCCAAGCATATTTAGGAGAAGTTGTGTAAATCAATGTTGTAGATATCATGGAGATCTACAACTTTCATGTTGAAAGCTTATTTTGAATCATCTTATATCTTGGTGAAATAATGGCATGAAGTGATGAAATTATCATGTATAAAAACACTTAGAAAATTTCTAAGTCTTGGAAATCTTGACTTTTCAAGTTGACTTTTGACTTTCTTGACTTCTTGATGATTAAGCTTGATATTCTTGAGTGTCTTAATAAAATTTGATCTTTGGGATGTAATTTTGACCAAAAAGTCAAAGTTTGACTTTCCAGTATACAATTGACTATTTTGCCCTTGTGCCAATTTCAAGCCTAAATTGATGTATCAGTGCTGCAAACTTGACGTCGTAGAAGATCTTGTGAGCAAATACTTGACAAATGAGAGGGAAAATTTTGGGGTACAACAACCCAAAACACGACTAACAGACAACTCAATAACATGTTCACTAAACAGTCATATGGTAACTCCCTAAACGACCACAGCATGAGAAAACATGCAACTTCAATAACAGATTCAGAAACATCAACGCACAACGATCATACAAACGACCAATTCCCACATAGTACACATCATAAATCCCATTATAAGGTCAGAACCCCACCCTTACCTGGATTGAAGGTCACTCTACCAAAATCCCAACCGACAACCTTGCTTTGTTCTGCTCGACACCGGGCAACTGCTCCTCTCTTCGCGCGGCTTCACACGGTCAGCGCACAAAACTCCTTATTCTCCAAAACCAAATCCTTGTGTCAGCTTAACCTTATATCATCAATTATATTGGGCCTAACTTACACACCCTCACATTACTTATTTCAACCAATAAAATAAGCCCAACACAGTTTTTCTATTAATTCCAACATTATTATTATTAATTAACTAATTAATCAATTAATAATAATCTAACAACTTATACCAACAATTCTCAACATCTCACAACTTCAACAAATAATCCAAAAATAATTTAATTAAATAATTAATTAAATTAACGGGCGTTACATGAAACACTGATACAACAGATCATTTAACTGGACCAAAGTAGTGAGAATTCCTTCCTTCATGTTGGTACCGAAAAGAGACAAAAGCCTTCTATATTTGCCCTTGAAAACCTCAGGGCTAGCAACCAAAGAACCCAACTTTCTTAATTCTTCTACCTTAGGAATCTTAAAAATGTACTTATGAGTCTTTATCCTTCCAAAGTCTATGGTCAAAGATGCATGTGATATTTGAAAAGAGAATTCTTAATTTCCTTGAAAACTTGATCAAAGAATGCTCATGGATGCATGAATGTATGGTTTATGCAACAATCACACACAAGATCACATACATAAGGGGTTCATAGGTTCGACGTCATAAGCATGAAGTCAAAGGTAATACTCACAAGGTATGGACTAAGTGTTTCAAACACATGTAGAACAAGGTCCTAAAAAGTTCCCAGAGTCGTCGATCCTCTTTAGGATATTACCAACACTCCGATTACTCGGGAATTAGTAATATTCTCAAGAGAAACTCGTCTGAATGCAGTATCGCGTATCAACTATTTCAGGACTACTCCTTCATAGTCATCACACTACATCCTAAAAAGATAAAGACGGGTTAAGGGATCTAAGGTCCTCAGTTTCTCAGGCTCCCAGGTCGAAAATAATAATGTCTTCCCAATTACTCAGTAAAAAAATACTACAGTCAAAGAGGCCTCCAGTGAGCGGAGTATCTCAACTCAACTTTTTTCAGGGATACTCCTTCAAAGTCAACATGATTATACCACCCTCCTAAACTTAAGTTTTTCCAAGTCCGAGTATAGGACTTGCAAGAGATCACCAAGCACCCTGAAAACCAGAAAGCACCAGACAAACAAGCAAACATACAACAATAATAGCACAAATACAGACAACACAAAGATAGACTCAACCCACTTAGATATTTTTTCCTCAATGAAGTCGTCAAATTTATGTAGTGGAGAAAAGTTGAGATTAAGCTACTGATTAACTTAACTCACAAAGCAAAAGTCACCAACACACTTTATTGTTTCCAAAGGAATGGGAAAAGAGCGAATAAAACTCAAAGAAGTTTTTTAAAACAAAAACTAATAAAAACAAAGATCTTGGTACGAGAGTTGGTTATGTAAAGGGAAGGTGTTAACAACCTAAACATCTATGGTACTCCGCAGGAACCTCTTCGAAAATATGTGTATTTGGCTAAAAAGAGTTATTTGTAAAAAGTTTGTGGAGATGAGAAAAGAAATGTTTTTTTTACAATTTTGATCCGGTAAAACTTCAAGAGCCTTGTGCCTACGTATCACTGCTGAGGCGATAAAGTTACAAGTAAACGTAAGTATTTAGGGTGATATAGGTTATATCGTATCATCTCCACATGGATTAGGGGTACTGAATTTCCATTCAATAGATCTCTCGTTAATGAGTTTCGGTTTGAATGAGTTGTTTGTAAGAAAGGGTAAAAGGTATCAACAGAAAATAAATTCATTCTTCAAAGGGGAAACTTATCGGGTATGCATATAATCCACTCCTCACAAACTTAAACCTATCGACCAATTATACTCAACCTACAATATTCATCAATGTCATCACGTGTCAAACACAACACCCACTATATCATATCAATGGCGATCTCTCAATCAACCTCGACAACACAAAAGTCAATTGTTCTAATCGTGTCGACGATCTCTCAAAACGACACAACAAATACAGAGGCATCAAGTGAATAACAACTCTAAATATATCTCTAGAATCTAGACACTATTAGATAATCATCCTAGATGAGAATTCGAGCAGTATATGTCTATAACAACCTAAACCCCTAAGCACAGAGCAAAAATCCAGGACAATAATCGACAAAAATTTGTAAAGAAAGTTTTATACAATGCCATGGGCGACAAATATACATGAGATCAAAGTAAATACATATACAAGCTCAACAAATAAAGAATATACAAAAAAAAGAAGAGAAATGAACCACAAATATCCTGGTTTGTCAGCACCAATTGATTAACAATCCATCCCGGATCATCCGTATGCAAGCTTCAATGTTGTTTTCTAAGCTAACCCTAAGGAAAAATGAGGGTTGGTGAACTTGGGAGCTAAAACTATCCCCAAACCCATAACCCTAACAAATGAAATGTAAACGAAATAAATAAAAAATTATTTTCTACAACGCTCGCCCGGCGAGCCAAACACGTCGCCCATGAATGACCTTATTTTACACAGCCCAGCTTGCGCCACATACGCAATTGGAGAAAAATATCTACTCTCGCCCGACGAAGGGAAGCTTTGTCCGACGACACTACGCTTCCTCGCTCAGTGAGCTGCTGGCGAGTCCAAGTCAGTGGTGTCATACCCCAAATTTGCCCGTCCTATTTCTAACAGACAAATTATTTCAAACTTGAGTTTTATAAAAAAAATTGGTTTATTTTACTAACAGTAATTTATTCTGCTAGTTTAAAAATATATAATAGTTTACTTTAAATTATTCATATTTTTTTATAACAAATATTTGTTGGACCTTCATATGCTCTCAAGTGCACTTTTATTTTGAATAAATGAGATAGCACAATTGGTCAGGAGTAAGGACTTGCAAGTGTGAGGTCATGAGTTCAAATCTCACAATCTCATGTTTGGGCGTTTTTTTGTCATTTTTGTTATTACTAACCTTAGTTTCATTTTTATTTGTTTTAATTTAAAAATCACCAAAAAATAGCATTTTTATATTTTTACTTTGGTTTTTTATTTAAAGTATTTTTCAAATAATAATATTATCGTTGATTTTTATATTTGTTTAACCTAATTTCTTGTATATATGATGTAATAACAGGAACCCCCCCCCCGAATGTCAATCTCGAGGACTGCGTGCAATTATCGAGTTAAATTCGTAGTTCAATTAAACAAAATTAGATATGGGTTTTGGTTTTGGAATTGTCACTTAACAAGTAGCAGAAATATAAAATAACGTTTTCATAGATATGAGGATCATGCTAGGGTAAGGTGTATAATTTTCCATGTAACTATCCTTCCTGATCTCTTCAACAAATTCGTATCCTTCAATTACTCACCATTTAGGTTATCTTCCCCTAAGTCCTTAGTGGGAAAACCTTTTAACCTTCATCCTAAATCCTAAGTCCTTAGAGATTTCTGATGGAGTCAAGCTTTTGTTTTATCAAGGGTTATATTCGGGAACTATAGAGTATCCGTAGTCCTAGGTGATATCTACTATATCCTAATCATACAAAAACCTTAACAACTGCGGTCCAGCTGGTTGTTAACCATAGACCAATCCTAATTTTTATGATCAAGAAAGCATTAAAAACATTATACAATTAAATTGAATAGAGAAGACTATTGTATTAAAGAAATTAAGGAATCAAAATCATTTGTATAGTCGAATCAAGGACACCCCTTAGCATTGGGGGGTTTAGCTACTCATATTGTTCAAAGTAATTTCAAAATAAAAATTAAACATTACACATAGATGGTGAACTTTGATCTTCAATCGCTTCCGCTCATGAAAGGTCTTTGTTCTCCAACTCTGGTGTAGTCTTCAATCTTCCGTCCTCAATTCTTCCTGTGGCCAAAAAAGTCCCTATCTCCTTATCACAAATAGGTTTTAATAGTATTACGTCATCCTTCTTCATCAATGCAAAACGTCCAAAGTACCCTTAATGATCCAAGACACTTAAAACTCCAAAAATCAAAATTTCTAGTGCTTTGGCCGACACGGGCACCCGTGTCAGCCTATGTTTCTTGCTTTTAATCATGATCTCGCCCATACCTTCTAACACAGGCCGTGTCAGCTGACACGAGCACTGCACCAACCTCTGCCTCCTCTCCCAAAGTTGTGCATCCTCTCTTGACACGGCCCGTGTCAGGCACCCAGTAGCTTGGTTTCTGAGACTTCCTCTGTCACTCCGAATTTGAACTTTTCGCACTGATTTTCCTGGTTTCATTCCTTTGAATCTGAAAACAACAAAATACACAACCAACACATAAAACATAAAAAATGAAATAAAACACTTAACAAGATAAATAAACTATAACTAAATTCAACTGTAAATAAAGGTGGAAAAATCACTGATCAATACTCCATAATCTTACTTCAAAAACCATCTTTATGTTATTAACACCACACACCACCATCAATAACCAAAGAAATCAAATTTCAAATTATTATGTTGTGTGTTTTTGTTATGTTTTACTCTACAGGAAAAACTGGAAAAAAAAGCAGAAGAAGAACAAAGAGCAACTGCGAGATGTCGTCACTCCACCATCCACGTCTCTGAACTCCGACTGAAGCTGCTCCGACACTAGAACGACGCTCACTCCAGTCACCACACTCTGACGTCAACAATTGCACGCCCGACCCATACACAAATCCTACCACCTCTCACAGCAGCAACAACCGCGAAACCATCAGAACTTCCACGACCACCTGAAGCTACCGAACCTCCTCACCGCGCCAAATCCTCAAGCCTCTGCCGCATACATGTCTGCAACCATCACCTAGGTTCCCTCTTTTTCCTTTAGATTCACTATTTGTTTTTACACTTTGTATTGAGATTCAGTAGTGAGATAAACAAGTTAAAGAGAAAGAGAGATTTGTAGGTGAGGGAGACGTTACGTGTTTGTTGGCTTCCGATCACAATCTATTCCTTTTAATGTGTACTTATCTTTATTTTTATTTTTACTTAAATAAATACCAAGTGTCAGAGTTTGAGTGGTTGGAGTAAAATCTTGGAAATAGTCAAAATGGATAGTAACTTTGATGTTTTTTTCTTTCTATTTTTAAATTCATAATAGCAACAACTTGGGGAATGGGGCGGTACACCAATATATTCATTTTTTCTTCTATTTTTCAATGTTTCTTTGTTTTTAATTTTTCATGTTTTGATTGTGATATTGTTATTTACTCCATTAGTTGTTAATTAGGTATTGTGATTTTAGTAGTGTTGGACCTAGACACTTTTACTAACCAACGCCCAATTTAATTTATGCACCCTTAGTTTAATTTTAGTTTAATTTATTTATTTGTTTAACTTAATTAAGTTGTTTAGTTTTATTAGGTTATTTAATCTTGTTTATCAAAAATTAACAAAAACAAAATAAAACATTTTTTATACATAATTTCAAATAACTTTTTTTAATTAAGTTAATTTAATATTTTTATAAATAAAAGGATTCAACATCTTCGAATAATTAGTAGGTTGGTTTAACGCTCATCAACGAGTTATTCAAATCAAAATAATTAAAATTCACAGACAAATCAAATGAATTTTTTCACCCAACGTGATCTAATTCTAATGAAGATCAATTCTTCTTAAAACTCCAATCAATTTCAAAATAGTTAACCAATCAAATCATTTTTCTACTAACTTAATAAAATTCAATATCATTTTCAAAAAAAGGAATTTTGACTTGTTTCCAAAATTAACTGCGAACTACATCTATGACTACGCTATTTTCAAAATCAGACAAGGTTCAAGGATAACTCAAAAACATTTACACAATCTATAAAAAACTAACCAAACACCTATGAACTACAAAATTAGACTCTGATTCTTCGCAAGGAGATACGTAGGCACGCAGTTAAAACCAAGGCGAGTCCCTCAACTAAAAAAAATGAACATTTTCTTAAATACATGGAAACAACACAATTAAATAGGAAATTCCCAATTTACCCTGAAACCTAGAAGTAGAGCTTCTGAGAACAAGGGATATGAAAGGTGCCTAACACCTTCCTTTCGTCTAACCAACTCGCGAACTTAAATTCTCTAAACGATTAGGGTTATCCGTTATTTTCCCGTCCTTACGACAAAAATCAATGGTGATGACTCATATTTTTTGTCGATTACAACAAGTGGCTAATGAAAAATTAATTTATTCCCTTCACCCCTCTGTCGCCTGGCGACACAGGCACAATGGCCTCTCGCCCTATCATCGCCCGACGATGCATACCAGAACAACAACTTTTGTTGCTTTCTCTGCACAACTGCAATGACTTTTCTTCTTTTGCCTTATTCCTTTATTGATCTAATGCACATCTTGGAGCTACATTTGGGCTTTATTCTCAATGCTCCAATAATGCTTGAATAAATACAAAAATGAATACAAAACCACCAAACGATACACTATGTACATGAAAATGTTGATATACACAAACTAAACATATTTACACAAAAGTCGGATTTATTAAACTGATATTAACAACAAAGAGTCGATAAGTACAACAAAAAGTATATACAAAAATAGATACAATTTGAACTTATCAAAATCTCTCCAACTTGAACTTGTTTATCCTCAAACAAGGCCAAACAAACTTAAAGAAGCAAAAGTAATCAACCAAAGAATCATGAATCAACAGGTTTGAAAAACGAAAACAAATGTATGGATCAAACAAAGACACACAAGCAAGGTAAATACTTATCATGGTCCTACAATGACAACATGTAAACAAAATGAATCCTAAGTACAAAAATCATACTAAACATTTTAAAACAAAACAATCTTAATCATGAATCACACCTAGCAAAAATTCATCGGTAGATGAAGAACATACAAAAGTGGGGAAATGACACTCATCCACAATCTTACAAACAATAGACTAAATTATGCATTCATCCAAAAATTCACATTGAAAATATAAAGGCAAGAATCACAAGGGTTTTTCAAGGTTGTAATGTGGCTTGGTTAATAAATAAGGGATAATTCCTAAAGCTAATCGAAACAAAAACTTGCCTAAACCTAAGGGAGTGATCAACTCACAAAAGTTCAAACACAAAATTTCAATCAAACTTCTTCATAATCCCAAATTTCAAACCAAAACACCTTACTTATTCGCACAATTATTCAAATTTTTTTTGTTTTTATTTTTTTCAAAGCTTTTCTCAATTTTTTATTTTATTTTCTTTTCACTATTTTTCTTCTTCTTTTCTTTTTCTCAACCTCATATCAATCAACATATAAATAAGCAAATATTCTCTCCCCAACTTGAATTCAACCAACATTAAAGTGAATACTCCATACTTTCTAAGTCAAGGTAAAAATTCAACTAAAAATCATAGTTGAGGATTCAAGAAAACAAAGAATAAATATCCATTCAAAAGGGAAAACCAAACACTCATAGACAAGCATTAATTTCAAAAACAACATGGATATTACAAAAAGGCTCAAAGGGGATACTAATGGTCACACACTCACAAGGTGAATTGACTATTTGGCTAGGTAGTTGTGCTCAAAATGAAACAAAATGCCTTGATCATTTTCATGCTTTCATACAATTAACACAAACAAAAGATTAAACATAATGAAATCCAGTTAAAACATGAATTGTAGCCTCCAGCATATATGAATAATGGAAATCTTCCTCACATTTGGGGGTAAAAAGGGAACTAAAGTGATTCAATAAAAAACAAGTAATGCAAAAGGAGTGAATGGTATAGTAATTATACAAATGAAAAGTTCCTAAACATGTTATGCTATAAAAAGCGATAAACGAGTACCTGACGTATACCAACTTTAAAAACTATCATTACCATACATCCGCAAGTTGAAACACTCAATTCTGACAATCACCAAAAGCGACCTCAAGCGATCAAACCAAAATTAGAGTCCAAACAAAAACAAAAGAATTATCACAACTAAACAACCAGGTGAAATTGAATAAACAAGTTGAAAAGTGAAGATTTGAGACTTTAGAACAGGTCCAATATCAACTTGTTTAAATAGAGATCACCACACTACCTAAACTAAAATAATGAAACATAATAAAACATGATTGTTTTAATTCATAAGCTTGAAGCCTGTTATTTATACACATTCCTCCAAGTTGCTTCCTCCTGGCTATTCCTAACCAAAATACACAAGCAAACGTGAAAGGAACCAAACAAGTATACGATATTCACAAGTAAAGAAAATACATACAAATTCATAAGTATATTAAACATATACAAGTATCAATATAAAAAAGTGAAAATATAAAATATATACGATACCTACAAAACTCATAAACAAAGAAACAACCACGATGCAATTCAATAAACACTAATCTCCGACAATGGTGCCATTTTGCTGAAGCGGTAAAGCGGTAAGAAAAAGTAAGTATTTAAGGTGATATAGGTTATATCGTATCGTCTCCACGGGGATTAGTGGTACTGAATTTTAGTTTGAAAAATATCTTGTTAATGAGTTTCAGTTTGAATGGTTGTTTGTAAGGAAAGGTAAAAGGTATCAACAGAAAATAAATTCATTCTTCAGAGGGGAAACTTATCAGGCATGTATATAATCCACTCCTCACAAACTTAAACATATCGACCAGTTATACTCAACCTATAATATGCATCAATGTCATCATGTGTCAAACATAACACCCACTATATCACCTCAGTGGCGATTCCTTAACCAACTTCAATAACACATAAGTCAACCGTACTAATCGCATCGACAATCTCTCAGAATGACACAATCAACACAAAAGAATTAATCACAGACACCCATATGAATAATAACTCTAAATATATCTCTAGAATCTAGACACTATTAGACAATCATCCTAGATAAGAATTCGAGCATTATTTGTCTATAACAACCCAAACCCCTAAGCATAGAGCAAAAATCCAAGACAATAATCGACAAAGAATTGTAAAGAAATTTTTATACAAAAAGAAAAAGAGAAATGAACCATAAATCTCCCAGTTTGTCAGCGCCAATCGATGAGAAATCCACCCTAGATATCCAAATGTAAGCTTCAATGTTGTTTTTTAAGCTAACCCTAAGGAAAAATGAGGGTTGATGAATTTGGGAGCTAAAATTATCCCCAAAACCATAATCCCAACAACTGAAATGGAAATGAAATAAATGTAAAATTTTGTCCCACAACACTCGCCTGGTGAGCCAAACACGTTTCCCAATGACAACCTTATTTTAGATGGCCCAGCCTGCACCATGTATGCAACTGGAGAAAAATATCTACTATTGCCCGGTGAAGGGAAGCTTCACCTGG